GCGCGGTTTGAATACAGCTTTTTCCTGGGTCTTCCGTGTATGTCTTCATTGCCCTGAACCTTTAATTGCTAATTGATGATCTCAGCCATTTCAACGGCACCTACGATCGTAGCAGTGGTAGTTGTAGCAGTAGTAGTGGTAGTGGTAGTAGCGGTTATAATCAAAGTTCTGAGGCATATTTTAGAAAGTGTTTGGCATCGTCGCTTACGCAGTTATGGCTGAGTTCATGAAAAAAAATAAAAAGAAAATGCTTGTGCTTGTTCTCTTCTCCTCTTTGCAATTTAGCAGCTGAATTTTGTAAGTCACAGTGTTTTTCCAGCGTGTTTTGTTGCGCTTTTTATTAGAAACAGTTACGGATATGCCGTCGTAAAAAAAAAGAACGGGGTTGCTCTTTGAGACAGAAAAAATGGAATTGAGAAGGCACATTGGTTGAGAAAGATTTGAAAAAAAAAGACGGAGAGGAAATATTTCTTGTGTAGTTTACATAAAATAGGCGCAAGGGCCTCCGAAACCGCTGGAGCTGTGCCAGGAAGCCCTCGTTTCCGAGTGATTTAGCTGAAATTGTTTACATCCCAATCGCTCTCTGATTTCTGCCATGTCTTAAAAGATTGTCTCTGAATTGGCACACTTTTTTTTTGATGTTACACAGCGCAGTTGGCTTAGCCAACACAGTGATGGGTAACGCCTCAGTTTCGGCTCTTTCGTAATTACCTCTTGTATTATCCATCTGCAGGCAGCGTTTATAACGTGGAAATGTTCGATTTTGCGTTGTTGTGCTAGACTGTATTTTCATGTGCTGAACACAATGAACCGCCAGCCACGACGATGCCTTTGCAAGTGCGCAGTATTTTGTAAGCAGCGCGCTGGTCTCCCTCATCGCAACTACCCCTCCCTCCTGCTCCTACTTACTCCTCCAGCCCGTTGAGTTTTGTTTCTTTTAGCATGCGCTGTTGCCATCCACGCTCATACCCGTCATTTTGGGGTTGAAAAGTAACGGCCGAACGCGCCCCGCCTGCATAATGTGTTTTTATGTGGTACTTTTGGCTGTGTCACGCGCGCCAAATTCCAGTTCCGACGGAGGGCAGGAGAGACCAGCAGCCGCGATGACGATGCCTTTGTTATGCATAATTTTGTTTCTTCCAGCATGCATCGATAGGTGTTTCTCGCTGCAGCGCAATGCTGCCATTATTTGCGTCCGGCACGGTCCGCGCACACAGCACTGCCTTCTGCTCCTTCCCCATACAGTGGAAATGTCGTGTCTGGATTGCGTATGGGCTCTTGTGCCAAGCATTTCGCTTCCTCTTAAGCCCCGAGGATTTGGTCTGTTCTGGGCCGGGGGCCGTGTGTGTGTGCATGCATATGGTGCCAGCCGGTGCGCGCTCGCTAGCTGCTTGATGCATGTCCCGCTGCTAATTTGCTGCTAGTTCGGTGAAACTTTTCTTAAAATGAACTATTACACCTATGAGTGGTGGCATGCATCATTTCGTTGCTTCTAATTCTCCGCAATTTCGTACCAGTGATTTTCTTTCTCCGTTGTATGGTACTTTGAAAAAACTCTTACAAAAGCCTTATTCTTCCGATCCTTGCCGCTTTTAACACACTCTCTCTCTCCTTCTCTTTGCTGAGTTCATATGTGTGTACGTGTACGTGTGGGTGTGTATGTGTGTGTGTGTTTTTTAATGCAGCCACTGTGCTAATTTTGTGTCTTTTCCAGAATTTCTTGTGTTTTTGTATCCGTTGTATTCCACTGACGATACCGTTGGCAAGATTGGTCGCTTGACAAGATTTCATTTTGAATGACAAATTGTATGTAGCAAAGCTCAAGCATCGGTTTTGCTTATCAGTGTATGCGTGCGTGTGTGTGTGTGTGTGTCTGTGTGTGTTGTGATAGCGATAATAATGATGATAATGGTGATGATGATAGTGCAACGCGATGATATGATGTGATGATGATGATGCTGGCGTTTTGTTGCACTCACTACGGTTGAATGTATCTGGTACTCGGATGAACATGAAACAAGTGTGGATAAAAGGACACCGTGAAAACAGTTGTTACTGTGTTGCATGCCAGTTCAGTAGAGGTTCTCTCCAATACCTCTCATGAAACTGGAAGTTTTGTTGTTGTTTAAATTGAAACAGATAGCTGCTAAAATCGACTCAGCCCGACAGGATGAGGTTGCGAGTTGCAGTGAGTGGGGATGGTAGATGGAGGTGGAGTGAGTGGGGATGGTAGATGGAGGTGGAGTGAGTGGGGATGGTAGATGGAGGTGGAGTGAGTGGGTGTAGAGATCGAAGGTGATGGTTTGGACTTTGGAGGTCGTAATGGAGAGGAAAGACCGGGGTTGTGTGGGACTTTTTTTGGAAGTAGACGGTGAGAACAGGAGGATGCGTGCTGGCTTTTTATATGCCTGAAACTAAAACCTAAGCTTAAAACTTGATGTTACAGGGGAATTAGCGGACTTGAACGCTACATCCAGAGCCTTATCTAGGCAAGAAATTTGGGGCTATGGTTTTAGCAGCTCGATCTCGCACCCAAAAGTGGGTGAATATTGCATGTCTGTGCCAAATTTCTGTAGTTGTTATTGAGACGGCCTGGGAATGCGACCGGTGTGCTTACGCAGTGGAACTGTTTTGGGCTTATCCGGGCTTTCCGGCAGTTACGAAAAGATAAGACTGTGGAGTTTGTTTCAGATGGGTAGATGTATGAGGAGTTAAGGGGGTATAAAATTTGTGATTTTGCTGATGCAGGGATCACATAAAGCGGGACTTCCTGGCGCCATCCTTTCTGACATTTTTGCTGCTTTCCTCCAGCACTATAGGACGGCTGCTGAGTTTCGCTGGGTGGTGGAAGCAAAAAGTGGGTGAAGCAGAACTGCTTATTTGAGGTTACTTTTACCGTCGTATGATGGCTGGAAGGAGATAGCACGTGCGGGTAAGTGTACTAAAGCCTGCTCGCTTCTTGGGCACCTTCTGTCAGATCGCTGGTTATCTGTTTCAGGAAGAATGGCACAGACGTTGGAGTCGTTTGTAAACAAAGTGATCTCGGTAATCACTGGTGACGGGCGCACTATAGTCGGTGTGCTGAAGGGTTTTGATCAGACCATAAATTTGGTGCTGGAGGACTCGCATGAACGGGTGTTCAGTGAAGAAACGGGGGTGGAACAAGTGCCACTCGGATTATACATTGTCAGGGGCGATAATGTGTTAGTTTTTTGCGTCTGAATTATCATCTGTACAGCAGCGAGTTGTACGTGCACTTCAACGGGTCCAGTACTACTGTTTTGTGACTACGCTGAGGATCCCTGCTCATCGCAAGGGTCACTCATTTTTGGAACTGCAAAATCTGTTGGTCTGCGTGATGCATATCGTCCTGGATAACCGAGGCCAATTAGATCTGTACGGAAGTGGAAAACTGTATCATTCATGCACGGATCATATTTCATCCCTTTGTCATTTCGCTTTCTTTCAGTTTCTGGGTGAAATGGTAGCAACATTGGTTCCCGCTTCCGGTACTTGTTTAGAATGCGATTTGATAGTTTTTCCCCTCGGTTTTTTAACTCATTTAACCTTTGCTGCTTCCAGAACCCCTCCTCCCACCTCGCCCCTAAAAAAGCTCCCATAAATCCCCGAGAAAAAAGGTTTAGGTAACATTGTTTATTTGTAGAATTTTGAAAAGCCCAAAAAAGCAGTACATTCAAACCTTGAACTTCATCCCTCCTCCTTTGTACCGATCTCTTTGTGCATACAGCACGGATGACATGTGAACTACAAAAAATTCTTACTTTCCAAGATATTATTTTTGGCCTTCCAACATGTCAGTCCTTCCGCTTGTCCTCCGTCTTTTTTGTTCAAGAGGTTTTTCTTTCCTCTTTTCCATGTGCATTCTCCATTTTTATCCAGTTTTTTCAAGTACTACTGTCCCATTCAAAATATGTGTTTTCCTGTATCCCGGACGTCTAATTTTGCCGGCTACTGGTAGTATATCTGGAAAGTATCACTGCGAATTGGGGTCGGCGCTACTTTCCGTTCTAAAAAAAAGTTTTGTTTTCAGAGCAGTCGTTGGCGAGTTGGATGAAGAACTCGATAAGCGACTGGATTTCAGCAAAATGAAGGCCCCTCCTCTGGGACCAATATGGATACATAATTAAACAGTTCTTTCCAGTATTATATGATCTACAGTAAATTCGGCAGGAAAATACCAGTGATTTTTTTCTGCTGAAAAAACTTCGCCATTTTTTGAGAGCTTTGAATTTCGTTATAGCTTGGTTCTTTCAATAGCTACACGTCGCTGCACTTCCCATCCATGTTTTTTTGTTCTTCTTGGCTCTGTGCATTACGCGGTCACGTAGATCCATAAAGGCGTCAAGGATAATTCTAGGCCCTATCGGCCCTAGCATCATATGCAGGTGCCACTCAAACTGTTTTGTCCAGCTGTCGCTTCCGGTCCGTAGGATATAACCAGCCTATAAATTTAATTTGGTCTACGTTGTCTTAATGCCGTCCTCCACAGCAGTGCATTATAGGCGATGTTTTGGAACAGCTAACGCCTTGCTGAGGCGTTGTGATTTTCAGCTTTTTCTTACTGCGCAGTCGATATCAGTAGCATAAGCTGGGTAGTTCAACTTCACGGCTAGATAGTTCAGTTTTTGGAAAAGGATATCCCAAATCCGGTGCAGTTTTCACCTGGTCCGTTCTGTTTTAATCATCACATTCGATTAGTCGTCATGTGTTTTGTTTCGCATAAATACGGGTACAGCTGTGCATAAAGCTGAATGGCTTGATTCTCTGGCATCACATCGAGATGAAGACGATGTGTTTTTTTTTTTTTTTTTTTTCCTTTCAGCCTTTCCTTTAACTATTATAAATCGAATTTCCCCTTCACATTGGTTGCGGGCCCACTCAAATAGTTTTTGCGTCGGCGTTGTAGATCTTACAGTTAGCGCCTTATCATCTTTGAACACAAACATTTGAATTATGCTCAGTACGAGATCTTTTCGTTTGGCCTAATTTACAGAGGGGTAACTTTCTTAGAGAATTTTCTTCCGCATTTAGTAAGGAAGCCTAATGGGATATCGTAAACAATAATATCTGCTTGGCATCGAATTTAGGTTCAAATTGCTTTTTCATGCGAGCTGACTTGCATAATTTCGTTGCTTGCGAGGTGTTGCGAATTTTTTCGCCAGACGAATACAAGACAAAGTCGACTATGGGAATATTAAGGATCTTGAGGAATGCATATGAGTGTTTTTGTGGGGCTAACCGTGAAATGGGTTTTTTTCTTTGGATGAATGCAGTCATGAAGCTGTCCGCACTCACGTCGACAAAGTGAGTGGTGATGGCCAGCCAGTTTTGGTAAAGCCGTTTGAAAATCCACCGGAGATCAAGAGAAAAAAACCTTGAATGCAGAGACTGAAGTGAATATACCGGTTATATCTTAGAAATAAACTAGTAAACAAGTTGCTGCTGTTTGCAGTATCAGTCTATTGTTTACTTTTCTCTGCAGTATTAAACTATTGTTTTCCCTTTTTTTTCCGACGTTAAACTTGTTTTTTTTTTCTCTTTGTTGAAAGTAAGTATTTCTGGACAACTCTGTCGCATGCATCAGACAGGATGGAAATTCGAAAAAGACGACCAGTGCCTGAGTCGCATGGAACTTCCTCTTCCATTGGTAAATTTTTATATGTATATCATCACTACAAACTTCATCTGAATTTCATCCTCCACCTTTGTCGTTTGATTGCTGGTGAACACTTCCAGGCATCTTGTCAGGCTTCGAGGACATTTTCTGTGCGGAGGTTGGAGTGCTATCAGTAAATCAGTAGAACTGATCTGTGAGTGTGCAGAACCTCGCAAAAAAGTCACAAAATCCTTCGTTTTCCTGGGTATGCTTCTCAGAAAACGCCTTAAGAAAGAAGCATTCACGGAAAAGCGAAGGGCTGCCTGTACCTACGGTGCTTGTCGATTAGAGAAACTCAGTGAGTGCTTTGTAAAGTATCGTCATGATCAAGAAAGGGAAAATCAGCAGATGACTCATCTTTTCGCTTCTTTCAAACTTTTGAGGGCTGCGTATCAGTGAGTAGTACTCGCGGGACACTGTTACACGTGTGTAGTCAAGCAGGTTGCAGCTTCGCCACCACGCTCTGTGAAAAGCGAAAGCACTTAGAAGTAGCTCGAGTGGTAGCAAATATTAGCAGTAAGTAACTGCTGTTTTGGTTTTCCCTAATCGTCTAGTATTCTCTAGGAAAGTAGAAGGAAGGCCCTGAGTAGGCCGTAATGTCGCCGGTTGAGCTTCCTGGAAGTGCTCCGACCTGAGGTGCACCATCGCGGTTCAGATGGCATCCGACCTGTCTAGGAGTATATAGCAGGCATCAGTGTTGCAGAAGCCCATAAATCTAAACTAATTTTAACTAGCAATGTTACAACTCTATTCCAAGTATTTGCACAGTTCCAGAGCGGGAGGAGGCTCTCCTCCCGTCCCTTGTCGATCCTCCAAAAGCGACACTCTCCTTCCCCACGCCCCCCTCCCCTCTGCCCAGGAGTCCGTCCTGGACCCACCTATGTTCATATACACGGTGTTTTCGTACCTCCCACGAACTTCGCGATCCTCCGCGAAATGATCGTTCGCCCATCTGGCCCATGCTTCGAAAACGCTATTGAAAAATAGCGCATCAGTGGGGAGGAGAAGAGGCAAGCTAGTGGACTTGGAGGTTCTCTTCTTCATCCCTCCACCCGACACCCAATCACACCGCCCGTCACTTGCATTCTATCGCGCCGTCCTCCGCTCGCAGCCAATCCCGCGGCCCTTCACTCGCATTTTGCGCTATCGCCCTCCACCGTATCCACCCTTCCGCCAGCACCCAATCGCGCAGCTCCCCATCCGTACCCTATCCCTTCCCCTCCAACCGCACCCTAACTCGGCACCCTCCAATCGTATCCTGCCCCGCCGTCCTCCGCGGGCACCCAATCTCATCGCCTTTCACCAGCACCTCTCTCGCCACTCTCCACCCGCAGCCAATCCCGCGGTCCTCCACTTTCACTCTACATCGTGCTCTCCACCTTCACCCAATCACGCCGCTCTCCATCCGCACCGTTTGCTGCTCTCCTCCCACTGACACTCTACCCCGCCGCCTTCCACCCGCAGCTAATCCTGTAGCTCTTGGTTCAATTGTCACTGTAACTTTGCTCTGAGAGCTTTCTTCCTCCACCAGTCTGTGCATTCGAATACACAGGTCTACTGAAATGTTGCTTTTCCGAAATGTTTATGGCCGTCAGTGCTTGGATTTTGTCGTTTTTGCTCTCTTCCATGCCAAACTCGACATTTCTGGAAGCCTGGACTTGCTTTAGTCTTTCTCAACTAAATGTTACACAACGTTCGTCAGTAAATCTGGCACTTCTTGTACCGGTGCAGTTGAATTTCGCACCTCCCTCCCTCCCTCCCACAGGGATCGTCCTTGAGATTCATCCATCCGGCCAGTGTTGCCACCACAAGATGTTACTTTCGTCTCTCTGAATTGGGTGTGCAGTCCGTGTACGCTTCTGCTTCTGTTGATTTCTGAATCGGCCAGCTGTTTTCCTTCCCTGCATATTGATTGTTGGTGCAGACCAGCCTTTGGCTATGGCTAGCCGGAGGCTGACGCTATCTTTGCGCCTTGCTGCGCTGGTGTGTAGAGTCAGTCAGTTTAGCAGAGAGAACGCCGTTATCCTGGATTGTTATGTGCACTGGACTGCAGTATGTCATCATCCTGATACTGGATTTGCTTGAGAAGAATGCAGGAAAGGGTTCGCACTACAAAGGCTAATCGCAACCCTGAAATCCCAATTTCTCGACTTGCTTTTTCACTGATTTGTAAAATGCAGCTAGGATTTAGACATTGCTGAGCATATATAACTTCCGTCTCCGTCTGCAGATAGCTGTGAGACAACACTTAGAATCCGTAGGTCATCTACATGCGCAGTAGAACATGCACGCACATACAGACTCACACACACACACACACAC